CGTGAGCGTGTAGGGGCACCCCTGGGAGCGGTGCCCAGCGCAGGCTGAGGGTCCCTGCCCTGGAGCAGGAGCAGCTCCGCAGGTGGGGAGCAAGGGACACACGTAGGAAATGGCTGAAAAACTGGAGTCAAGGGCCAAACGAGTCAGTCTGCAAGCACGACACACACTGGAGAGCAGATCTGTGTTTTGAAAGCACAAAACCAGTTTGAATACAGTAAGGGGACATATCACACCCTTCATTTCTCATTTTCCTGCACTAGAAAGGAGAATGACTAATGCTACTCAACAGATTTTTTTTTTATTATTTTTGGAAAATATTCATGTACATGAAGTAAAACTGGACTGTGTTTATGGAGTCACTGCTTTCCTACCTACCCTGATATATTTAGAGCGAAAAAGGTGTAAGCTTGCATTTATTAACAATTACCACAATTGTCATGGTAAGCTCATATATTTTTCCACATCTCTCCCACTGCTATTTTATGATGTGTGTAGTACCTTGATGGGAACACAACTATTTCCTTACACTGATAAAAGTAGGTGTATCTATAACGGACTAGTGTACAACGACAAAATTTTCAGTGAGTAAAGCATGGGCAGCCACTATTAGACTACAATAAAGAAAATATTTTTCCCCTTCTACCTCAAATGTGCACAGCTATGATAGAAGAAAAATTTCTGCTTTTAGAAAAATTTTGTCGAGATTTGTTTTTTCCTCCCAGAAAAAAACTAAACTGGGGGGAAAAAAAAGGAAACCTCAAAAACTTTCCCTAAATAAACTACACTATAAAAGAAGCTATGATGATCTCTCAGAGATTGAAATAATCCATTTTTAGCTGAAACTACCCATAGCAATGAAACTGAAAATACTCAAAAAGAGGGCTGGAGACTGTCTTGTAATTAACATTAAACAGATAACATATTTACGAGGAAGTCAAAATATTTTGGAAGCTGATAATCCTGTAAGCCTTAACATGGTATAAAAACAACAAATAAATGCAAAGTGTTACTGTTACACATGCCTGCCTGATCAATGGTTTTCACATATTGATCTATAAATGGAGTTGACAGTCTGTGTTGGCTGCACATTTTCCAAGCAGCTCTATTTTTGTACAAAACCAATACGGGCAATTACCTTTGTTTGAGATGCCAAGTCTTATCAATTCAATGTGATTTAGTGTCATTTTAATTAAATATCAGGATCTACTTCAGGACAATCTATACAAACAAAGCCTCAAACTTGACTATAAGCTTGATTTGAAGTAAACATGTACAAGCCCTGCAATTTCAAAATATGGCTCAAAAACTCTGCTAAACAGAAGGCTTATATTTTTAGCAATTTTATTTCTGTTTTTTTGGCTAGCCATAACTTTGGCAAGTGTTCTATGATCACAGGAGTAAGAAACAAAAGAAGATTGCTTCCCGTTTCCCTGATAATGTATTAGAGAGATAAATAAACCTACCAGTTTGTTTAACCTAATCAGAAAAAGCTCTAATACATTAACATTTTGGAATGTCTAAATAGGCTCTAATTCTTAATATAGACACCAATAAAAAAAGACATTTCATTGTTTGAAGTTGTTCTGAATGAAGCAAAATGCACTTCCCTGGGGTTTAACAGATGAAAATAGCAAATATTCATTTACACTGCTAGTTCAGATACTAACATTAAGCACAGAAAGAGCCCTTGCTTACCACAGTCTGTGTCCAGCTTCGTGATTTGTGCTCTTTAAAATCTACATTAGTATCAATTTCAACCTTTGCACAAAGCTCAAGCATTTCCATTGAAATAAATAACGTAACCCCCCAAGAATCTAGATTTTGCATCAGTTAGATTATGCATTACACATTTGCATCTTCACTACTATAAAATGCACAAGTGCATATGGCCCTGCTGATGTATGATGCATATCCTTCTTTGTCACACTATAGAAAATAATCTGTCCACCTTCAAAAGTATAGCCCCAGGTGTGCTTACAAGCATCACAGAAAATGCTTGAGAATACAACAAATCCCTTAGAGAAAATTATGTGTTTTCTTCTCTATAAATCACTAGTCATCTTTCTAGTTTGGTGCCTGGTTTTTGCCCTTTATTGCCCAGAGTGTTCAGGCTTTTTTCCAAATATGTTTTAGAAATATATATTTCTATTGATTGTTTAAAATGTGCCAAATACTGATTGCCTTGATCCTCTGAAGTCAGTAGGTTTTGCATTAGTTGAGTAAAAAGGATTTGACCCATTTATTAATAGAACATAGAGTATAGTGCAGATGCCGAATATGAGTGGCAAAAGAGTAATATGGAGTCACTTATTCAGCTATTTCTAGCTTTTAAAAAGAAAAAATATCTCTGATGATACAACAAAAATATTCAGTCAATGTAAAACAGAAAGCAAGCATAATCAGTGGATACCTTATAGATTATATCCATCATCTAAACAGATGCAGTCTGTTGAAAAAAGGAAATTTCCAAATAGAAAAATCAGGATAAACTCTTTTTATCTTCCAGCACAAAATAATTAGCTTTGCTTAACATACTGGCAACATATATCTTTTAGCAGGAATCTGTGTGCCTTTAAATGCAAAAGTGAAGACTGTATATTTAAGTGCACTGGAAAAGAGCAACACAAATTTTAAAACAAGATTACTAATTGTGTGTGTATATGTATATACACACACACACACACACACACACACGTACACTTGTGTGTGTATCAGTTGGATGATGCTTTTTCAAGACACTTGGACAGAGACTACTGTCCTCCATTACCTTCCTCAAAATCCTTCACAAGTCACATGCACAGATTCAGATATATCACCATGCAACTGATGCACACAATTGATATTTCACTGCTCTTTTAACTTGTATCTCACTGCATTTAAAGTACATAATTGAAAATGTTTGGATCCTTGGGAATTTTGAGTTTAGTTTGGGCATTAGGAAACAACTTTAAGAGGCTTATTTAAGTAAATACAGCAAAATGTTTTCAGTCTGTCGGTATCTAGTCAGAAAATTCTGCATGGCAAAAAGTGATGAAAAGAATTGAAATAGAAAGGAAATTAGTAGCATGGCAAGCTTTCAATCTATTATGTCGGAGCCAAGTTTGCTTGGTAAAATGACATATACTCAGTAAAATTCCACTTTTATATAATTAGCTACTAAACAAATGTAACACAAAGCAACTTTTCAGCTCTCAGCCAATGAACATATATTGTACCTGCTATGGTTATTGGAATGCAGCAGCGAATATTTATGTCTAATTTAACTTTTTAGAGCCCTTGCTCTGTAACAGTCCAGCATACTATCCCCAAAACTAAAGTTATGTAACAAGGTAATATCAACAATGAGAAACTGCATGATAAAATCCTGCCCAAAAGTGAAAAATGCTAATTTTGTCTCATTTAGCAGCTGGATACAGAAATGCTCATTAGTTTTAAGAGGGTTAATCCTTTTAACTTTTGCATATTGATATGCCAATTATGCCTAATTGTACAAGAGGCATCAGTCAAGGTAATAGTGCATAAACACATGAAAGTTATTAAGTACATCCCAACATGTAATAAAGTAGGTGTTAATTGGTAGCTGAGTTCTGCAGGCTATTGAGGTGGATAATTCATTGAGAGATGGATCACTTGTAATTTCTCTACATAATTCCTTTTGCAGTCTCATGCTGTGATGTTTTCATGCTTGTCAAAAACAACTGCAGCCTAGTGCCTTTTGTTAAACACAGCCAATAAAATATGTTAGGCATCATTAAATATACTTAACTTTTAAACTTTTTCAAAGGTACAATTCTTCCTGATAATATATTATAGTGTTCCCAGTAAATTACTATAAGCATCGTTTCAGGTTTGTAATGGAGGAACATTTCACGTCAGATAAAAAGGAAGAAACATGTACAGTGTGTCTGAGGCAAACAATATCGTTTAAATGGAAGGTAAATGAGTATCTTATCAGCTGCTAAGATCTAAACAGATTTTTCTCTCCAGAAATATAAGATGAAATGAGTTAAGCTATACCAGAGAAATTAATGATTAAAATAACACATTTCTAAATAAGTCTGAATTTTAAGTTTAAACTGTGAGTAAAAAGGGAAGAAAATACAGCTGTTACTGTAGGCTTCCTCCTTTTAATAACTTTGTTAGAAAGCTGAATATTTCATAGGAATCCATTACCTCAACAAAACAAAAAATCAATGGTTGGCATGGCTGTGAGAAGTGATAGAGACCTGGGACTCTGTCCCCAGCTAACAGAGTTTTCTCCCTCATTTGCATTCTCTGAGAACAAAATGGATCTGGAGTCCAAAAAGTGGCTAACATTGCATAAATAATTTTGTAACATCGTATGGCCTCAGCTGCAAGTTGCCACCATTATAGAAGAAAATTAACCAGGGGAGACTCATACCAATCAGTTCGTTTAGTAGCTCAGAAGGAGTACAGGGGCAGGGACGCAACTGGCAATAGAGTTCATCACTAACTATTTAATTTAAAAAAAAAAATGGTAATGGATAAAAAAATCATTCAACTCTTTCAACTCTGTCAACTATTAAAATAATAAGATAACTTCAGTGTCTGATTTTTTACAATTAATTCATTCTTACAGCAAGATTACTTTTGTTACGGACAAAGTTGTCCTTTGTTTACAGAGTTGTAATTTCCATTTCTTTTGTCTGCTTTTAAAGTTTGCCTTCTGACAAATCATGACATATATCTGATACTGTAAGTATTATTCTCTACCACAGTCGTGCCTAAGTACTGTAACACTTGAGAGTTGAAATGCTGAGTAGATGTTATGACCATGGCCACCAAAACCAAATTCTGTCTTTCACTGAGGGAAAATTGTTACTCCAACACCTACCCGTGCTCCTAAAAATGTATTAGTGTCATTAAATCCCTCATTGCAAGGGACGATCATGAAACCAGTATCTTAACTACACTTAAAATAATTCTGTAGTTTTTAAAAAATTGGAAGACTCAGAAAATATTAGGAATATTTTACTTACAGGCTCAGCGACTTTCACATTCTCAGACAGAATCATAGATTTGCTTTGGCTCAGCCTATCGTGGTGACTGTTGGCACTTTTGATCCTCATTTGAACAGCCCCTGTACTGTGGTGGGAAGGATTAGGTTTTTCAGAGGCCATGTCAGAAGTTGTAGACCTTTCCATGGTTACTGGGTTGACCTGAAGAACATAAAATAACAGCATTAATCTAGGGACCCTTCATACAAAAAGGTATCAATGCTAGTTATATGTCACTGTAGTCAGGAGAAGAAACTGAGTTACCTTGCTGGCAAGATCTTGATCATCTTTGAACACCAGGATAACTATCAGCTGTGTCAGACTGTAGTTTTATTATTGTCCTTATCACTCACCCATCCAATCTGCCTTGGAAGAGTTAGTTTATGTAAAAGATTATCCTTATCTCAAAAGCCATTCTCCTCTATGGTGTAATCTCCCTGCAAGCCTCTGTCACGTCCAGCTGGCAGCCACTACACTTCGTCTTTGGCCCTGCTCACACTCCACATTTTAAATCTTGCAAAGGAAAACGACATGCTGTGAAGCCAATTAACATATCTTACCTCCACAGTTCGATACATGCATGTTACGAGTGCATTACAGGATCATGCTGCAACCCTACTAGTGTCCTAGATTCAAACCCAGATCTAATAAAATTTCCCTTAATTTTTACAACAATAACAACAGCACAGATGGGATTTTTGTTTCTCTGTTCATTTTTAAAATTTGTAAATGTAGAAATGGGTGAGCACATGCCCTCAAGACCTTGGCGGGACCGGGGGGAACTTGTACAGAATGATCACCTTCTCTAGCAACGCTGCTATTCAATCTCCTGTCTTGGCATTAGTGTAACTCAACAAACTCTGTTCTAGCTATTCAAATTCCAAAAAAAATGTTTTTAATCAGCAAGAGCTGCTTTATATTTCCTGTAGGAAACACTGGGACAGTGATGTACAACACTTGCTCTACTTTCTTCCCCGCTAGTTCACCCTGGCACTACTATATGTAAATCATGGGTGAAGTAATATGGTAAGAGTCAGAAGAAAACTTGCTATTTATATTGCTATGTAACCATATGAGAAAATGTGTAAGGAAGAGATACTATATAAGCTGGAATTACTGGTTTCCCAACTACGGAGCCAGGGAAATGGAAATCCATTTAAGTGCAGCTATAACATAAACTGTTGAAAATCAGCATTTTCCGAATGGGTTTGAAAAGCACAAGTTTTTCTAACAACATCTCCCCAATTTCTGAAGACACAAAAAGATTAAATTCCCTGATTTCAAGAAAGTCCATTTCTACGAAGGCATCAGAGTAGAAGATACGGTACCGGTGTGAAGGTGGGAGGGGGAGATGAGGAGCACTACTGGATGTCAGTGGGCAGGACCACAGCCATTGTGCTGGTGGAAGGACACAGCTCTCATAGCTTCACCCTCTCCTGGCCCTGATAAATCAGTTCCTTACAGGAAACTGCCTTAGATATAGAGGATGATAATGAGAGGTCACGCAGTCACAGAATGGCTGAGGTTGGAAGAGACTTCTGGAGGTCATCTGGTCCAGTGCCCCTGCTCAAGCAAGACCACCCAGATGTGGTTGCCCAGGACCATGTCCAGAAGACTTCTGAATACCTTCAGGGAGATTTAAACTCATATGGCCAGAGATATGGAAACACGAGGAAACACAGCACTCTTAAAGAGAGAAATGAGAAGTGCTTCAATATTAGTGACTACTCACTTAACAGTATGTGCCATGATAGAAACACTAACTTTAATAAAAACAACAGTAAAGCTTATGCTCATTGGCTTTAGTCACTCATTGAATTGGCTCATCGAATTAGTCACTCAAGGATCCCTACAGAACTTGAACCACAGAAAGAGAGGAGAAAAATTTGGCTAAAGTTCTTTCCTGCTACTCAGGAGTATGTATGCCTATTTCTGCTGAAAAGCTGGTATATGACACTGAGGAAAAGGCTTTACATGGACCTTTGGTAGACGGCACTGTGTGTTCTCCCCCCACCCCGAGACACTTCTCACCACCCTTCAGAGCAGTCACTGCTCAAGCCCATGTCGCATGACACTTTGCCATTTTGGCAGTAAGCTCTAAGTAGGAATGATTTCTTCCTCCTAAACTTGGAGAGTCAAACCATTTTGTATTTCATGTTGGTATCGAATCAAAATTACTTCTCAACAGATTTTCAGTAGGCTCCAGGCTGGAGAGCTGATCAGACTCGAGAGACGAGAGCAACACTGGCTCTGTCACCGATCCAATGTTTGGCTGGAGCACATCTCTCAGATTTTCTTCTGAAATCTCCCACCTATAAAGCTCTGACATATCTCTTCTTGGGAGCATTATGAGTTTTAACTAGGTAGTCTCTGTCTGGTGTTGTCAGTACATGATGTGCTATAAAAAAGTTTAATAGTGTGGCAAAGTCATGCCCTGGATCTCAAATAGGAACACAGTGAGTAAATGACAAGTCTGCAAAGACTGCTGAAAATTTTTATTCTAATCTCATTGAACCTTAGTTAATTTTCCCCAAAAGTGGAACTAATTCACACACATCAGATTATTACAAGGAGACTTTCTGGGGCAACAAAATTACAGTAACCACCATAACAGAAAAAAACTCAAACCTCAACATTTCCATCATCAGATTTTATTTGTCTTAGTGTAGAACATGCAGAGATCTTGCAGAATATGAAGGAAAGGTACAAGTTACAAAAGTTGCTCTCTCAGGATTTCCAGGTAGAAATCCCTTGCTGTCCAAACTCCATTGACTCCTGACAGAGTTATCGGCCCTGCATGCCAGTAGATGGCACCCTGAATATGAGCTCCACAAACGCAACAGCGTTGTATTCACATTTGCAAGAAGAATTTGGTACTACTTACACTCTGCCCTATTTTTTAAATTTTATTTATAACTTTTAAAAAATAACAGAAGGAAAGACAGTCCGGAAACAGATAGAATATTAGCAGAAAATAGAAAAAGGTTCTTATATGATGCTTTTATGATTTGGTGCTTCCAAAGTGTTATTAGCAGCACCAGGGCCAAGTTTGGGATGGTTTTGCAGGGAATTCGTTTCACGTACTTTGGAAGACAGAGCTGCCAAGCCCTGTGCAACTGCTTGTGAGGCACTCCATGTTCATTATATAATTAGCTAATTTGACTTTTGGCAAATAGTTAGCATCTGGATATAAATTTTAGTTTTGGAACCTCCTATGGTTGATTTGTTGGAGAAAGGCATTAAACCAAGACAGACTTTCCCCACCCCCCCTCCCTGTTATTTGTAGGGTTCCTGGACCAAAGGGGCAACATAACTTTAAAGCATTCACGTAAGAGAAGGTGGACAGGGGAACACCCTGAAAAATCTTCTTGCAAGTACCTGTTCTGGGGCACTGTGAAACAGGAGCGGCCAGTTGGATAAGGGTGGGGGAAAGTTGGGGGGACAGTACACGTACAAGAAAAATCCCTGGCATGGGGTTGAACAGATGATACAGGAAGGGAAAACTGATTCATAGAGTGGGGAAAAAAAGTTACATTGGCTATGAGAAAGGAGAACTTTCATTTCTGGAGAGTGGGTAGATCAGATTGCTTATGGCAAGAAACACCACTGAGCTGAAGGGACAGAATTATCTATCTGGCTGGGACAGCAAAACCAATTCAGTTTGACACAGACAGACACTTTTGAAGATAACCTCAGGAGTTCAAAAGCCCTCACTGAAGGAAGAAGCGGTTCAGACTTTAAATGAAATGTGCAGCCTCAGTGGGTCTACAATTGCTGTCATTTTCACCACAAATTGGTCCATGTCTTTGGGATGCTCAGAGAGGAGAGAAGCCTGCTCTGGCAAGTAGCACAACATCCCCATAGTGAATCAGGATGAGTTGAAGCCAGAGCTCAGGCACCAGCTACAGGTGTGAACTGGCTGCTAAATAGTCAAGTGACATTTGACATATCTGGCAGATCAATGGTTAAGATCCTCAACCTCTGATTTAAAAACGTATAGTTGACTTTCAAACACATGGTGTGGAAGTAATGAGTATCATAGAGATGAAAAACAGAAAGGTTATTGCAGATGCAAATCCATACACACAGTAAAACCGTCCTGTTTCTGAGAAACATGCCCAGATTAAAAGAGTAACACAGCAAATTGTGGAGATCAGATCTCAGTCTTCCTCACAAAGTGCTGGCTCTTGGCAAAACAATTTTTCAAGAACATTTTCTGCAGCATTTCTTTTAAAAGCAGTGCTTTCACAAAATCTTGATGCTTGGTAACAGCAAAAATATTTCATTTATTTCTTATTTTCCTTTAACGGGAAAAAACTCTTTTCTGCCTTTTCTCTTTAAAAATAGAAAGGAAATTATAAAGAATACAAAGTAACATTGTTAACTTCCCAAAGAAAAACAAAACAAAATAACCCATTCCTTTTGTTATCTATAATTTCCACGAAAAAGGAAAAAATATACTTTTCAGCTTTTTGAAAAAAATTAAGAAAGTGAATTGTTCATCTCACTGACATTTGTATGTCTTTGGTAGCTTAATTCTGGTTTCTGTCTTACAATGGCAGTCAGTAAGTATTGCCCTCCTACAGCAGATCATGGAACTAGAGGAACTTTCATATTGCATTTATCAGGTTTTTAATCCATTTTAACATGTTGTTTTGTCTAGAAATTGATCATATAATGAGCGGATGGACCAGTATTACCCAAGAACTGCATTTCATGAGTTTTGGTACAGTATCAGTAAAGTTAGTATATAGGTTTTCCACAAAGCAAAGCAAAATGTTAGTTATCCAAGAAACAAGAGGATAGCAGTATTTCTAAATTTTGGCTTGAGTTATGCCTATGTTTCCTACAGCTATGTACAGTGGAAGACAGAATCCAAACGTTCATTCATTAGCAACTTGTGCCAAGTAGTTGTAACAAGAACTTTTATCCCAGAAAGGAAAAAAAATCTATCCCTGATTAATATAAGTTGTTGCACTTGTTATTCAGGATTATGAGATTTAAAACATTGTATATATTTTTCAGTATTTCTCAGAATAAGCTTTTCATTTCTTCCAACTTTGCTCCTTATGACATATGCACCACTATCAAGTCAGAAGCATAATGAACATGAAAGTGTTCAATATAGTAATGTGAAAACACTGCAGAATTAAAGTACATCT